TAAATAACGTAAAAATAATGTATTAAATAAAGTATTAAATAACCACCTGAAGCAATACTTTTTCTTGTAAATAAACGAAGAAAAACACTAAAATGGCTAAGTATTTGTGTTGCTTGACTGAAATGTAGAAGTTTTGCATACGCTAATTATAGAACTACAATGTAATTTCATCTCGGCAAGCGGGACGAAATACTCCATATGAACGCACGGAAATATTCGTCTCGGTAAGCGAGACGTCCCGGTAAGCGGGATCATATGAACAGGCCCTAAGTCCACAACAGGTGGGTTTCACTTAAAATTATCCCTTTCAAAAGCATTGTAATACTTTATGAAATACAAAATTTCTATATTAACCCTTTAATTATAAGTGGCAATATATGTGCCCAGATGTACCCTACTTTATATTTTACTCTGCCTAACGCCAGACGATTTTACAATGGTATCATGCAATTAAGCCTGGAACAAATGGTCAGTTCTAAATACCTATCTTGATCACTCAAATATCAATGGCTTGATTAATTGCAACTTATGATATTGCATGATATTTAACTCAGTATAAAAACCTAAAACTTATAATGTTAGAGATATTAACTTGGTACGGACTTACCACTATAGTGCAGGTATTTTTTTGGACATCTGAAAACTTTTTTAATGCCATTAATATACTGCACGGATTTGTGTGTTGGCTGGCTGCATCTATTTATTAGTAATTAACAATATTGCACGCTGTTTCCAAGCAGCATATCTGTTTTGTGTCAAGATTTTGTGTGTTATAAACATTACATGTAAATCGACTATGAAATATTCTAGCAGTATTAAGTATATAAACTATATTTTTATCAACATACCATGCGAGGTGAACAAAATCCGCATTAAAATCACTTCAAATATTATACAACTGAACAAGTCACACGACAAGAGAAACAATATTATTTGCTTGATTGTAAATAATCCATATTTTCACGACATTTTAGAGTAATACCAGAATTAGTTCAGAAAATTTCCAATTCGTTATATTATAAATTCGTCCGTTTGTATATATTATTTAATTACTATTTTCCATATTTCACGCTGACAATACGTCAGACTCCGTGTTTTCCATATTTTTTTCTGACGTCAGACTCCGTGTTTTCCATATTTTATGGTGGACTCCGTGTTTTCCATATGACTCCGTGTTTTCCATATTTTTCTTGACTCTGACTCCGTGTTTTCCATATGACTCCGTGTTTTCCATATTTTTATGACGTCAGACTCCGTGTTTTCCATATGACTCCGTGTTTTCCATATTTTCTCTGACGTCAGACTCCGTGTTTTCCATATGACTCCGTGTTTTCCATATTTTTATGACGTCAGACTCCGGGACTCCGACTCCGGGGCTCCGACTCCGGAACTCCGACTCCGTGTTTTCCATCTAACCCAATTATTTAGGCTCAGACACAATGTCTTACACCCTGAGTAATTGCCCCATTACCTATTTTATACCAAAAAATGTAACAAATTAAATGTTGGAGGGAGGTTCTAAATTTTCTAGATGAAGGTGGGGCGTCTTGAAAATAAAGGTCTTGCGATTCGGGCAGCTCTAAAAATGTTCAATATTTGGTATTTATCATCCACTCAGCCCATTGGAAATGGTAATTATACCAAAATAAAAGATGACAATCTGAAGATACAAGCTTGACAATAACACCAGGAACAAAGACTGAAATTAAAGTCAAAGCAAGAATAATGTTTAAAATACTTAATGACATGGAGTCAAATTGTCTCAAAGCATTATTTACTTTCAAAAAGGAAATATTGAATCACAATCGACTGCTCTACTATACCATACGCTTGCCAAAGCCAAATACGAACAATATGAAAAAGAGCTGTACGACGGGGCTTCCATATGGAACTGCCTACCAGAACGGGCTAGGTTAAAATGCGGAAGCGGAACGGATCCACGGAATGGATATGGGGATAAATTGCGGAATGGAACGGATATGGGGATAAATTGCGGAACGGAACGAATGGGGGATAAAATGCGTCATTTTAAACTTCTCCAAATATTTTAACCTCTTGGAGATAGATAATTTAAGCATGCTGCTCCTCTAATATGGAACTCTCTCCCACTTTACATTAGGCGGCGTGAAACTGTTAACAGTTTTAAACTCATTTAAAGACATTTCTATTTAGGAAGGCATATCAATAGACTAATTTTTAAGAATTATTATTGTATATACAGCTTTAAATTTTTAGGATAACTATAAGATTGTTAATACCCAGGTTTTTAAAGTATAATTTAATTATTATTGTAAATTCATCACGGTACAGCGCTTTAGTAAGCGTTATTTTCAAATAAAGTTGTCACGGAGGCAATATTCAAATTTGCAATATGGGCGCTAAAAGAACGATGGGAATAATCATAGTTTGGCATATCAGTAGCCTCGTGGGATACTTTTAGCGACAGCTCGCAATGCAAATGAACTTTTAAAACATGCAAATTTGGTTGTTTATTTATTTATTTATTTTATTTATTTAGCTTTGCCAACTAGGGCAGGGTCACCACAACAGCATATGCCAATTACTGTGGGCCCTTTTTACCTAACCCACCCTGTCAACTTTCCCTGTGGGAGGAAACCGGAGTACCCGGGGAAAACCCACGGCTTTCGGCAGAGTGTTGACTTTTACTCTTTTCACATGGGGACTGGGTAGTTAAACAATTGTTAGTGAAACAATTTAAATTTCGAGTTGTCGCGTGTAGCATATCCATAATAAATAAATTGTATCAATTCCACAAGGCACGACGTTTCTGATGTGTTAAGCATGTTTCAATCGTCGCGCTAATCATGTGCCGAACGCATTATTAAAACAATAAATAATGAGATGAAATGCCACATCCGTTCCGTTCCGCATTTCATCCCCATTCGTTCCGTTTCGCATTTTATGATTTTAATCCTCTTATAGGTTCCTTACCGCTCCGTTGACCCGTTCCGCATCCGCTTCACACATTTTACTTACTTTGTCAAGTTTTGCTAAAGTTAAATTGCTACCCATTGCTTGTAAAATCACGTGAATCTTGTAAATAGTGTAATTTATTATTGTAAAATTTCTATCTATATCTGTATATTAATGGTTTCTTCCTTATTCTCTAACTTGTAACTAACCTAACTATTCCTAAATGTTTTAGACACTTATTATGGAAACCAGCTTTAGCTGATAATGTTAGCGTGGTTAATTAAATAAAGCTGACAGTATCTCACTAATTATATATAAATTTTAAGAACAATATTCGTAAACGCGAATGTGACTCACAATGGGATTAAAAAGTTTCTGAACAATAGGGTTGAAAATATTTTCTAAATATCCACGTTTTATCCTTTTAGACAAAACGCGGATATGACTTTACCCTGGCCCAGAGAAAGGCGAAAACAATACCCTCTGGCTTCCCGGGTAATATGACTTATAAACAGGCAAGAACGAACTTTTTTGGACCATATCCCCGTTTTATTATTTTGCACAAAAACGCGAATATGACTATTAAGGTGGCTCCCTAGGGTTTTTTAATTTACTACACTATAGTCAGTCAGGAGACTTCTGTTTCTTTACTTTACATGACATGAAAACGAAATTTATTGGACACATTGACAATGTTCTCCTGAACATTGCAAATTGCTACTTTCGTGTTAAAAGTATGTTGTCATGGCAACAGCATGCTTAGAATAAAGCTCAAAATTTGTCTTTTTCAGGTCATTTTAGAAAGTTCCTTCGGTGAAATTTTTTAAAACTTTGCATAGAAGATAATACTTGTATAATGATTTTTTCCTCTCAATTTAAAAAAATTAAATCGATACGTTTCTTAGAAAATTTAAAAAACGTCAAAAATTAATATTAAAAATTTTCCCTTCGATTTAATTTTAAGAAAAAGGATATTGCACCTGTTGTACCGATATTAAAAAATGTGCAAATTTTAAAAAATTTTACCGAAGGAAAACAGATAAATTTGGGTTTAATTTTGGCAATTTTTACCAGATTTTTCCGCGAACAATTTAATACCCCAACTGACGTGTACATGCATTCTGCATAAAACAACAAGGCATGACTTTTTTGAATTCACAAAATATAAATTATGTTGGATATACTGTTTATAACTGTGTCGGTTACTGTTAGTGGTCAACTAAGCGTGGATTATACATGTAGAAATGACAGAGATATTTAGGTAATTACTGGTTATGACTTTTTGGTATTAATTTGAAAAATGTTTGTCAAAATTCGTCCCGTGCGAGTTAGTACTATCGTCGGATGTTTTCGCAAAATGCCGTTCAAATTTCACTTTTTATAGCGGTATGTTTGGAGTTTCGGCCCTGCTCATCATTTCACCCGTAGAGGGCTCATTATTTAAGTTATCTTTATTGTCATAAGTGCTGCTAGATTGAGAAAACACTTGAGGAAAAAATTCTTGAGGAAACTTTATATCATATCCCAATGTTCGCGATCGAACCTCGCGTACGGCGGTTCAAAAAACATCCAGAATACCGCTTAAAAAAAAACAAGTTTACATTATCTTCTTTTGAAACCTCACATCCAAGTATCGTTTTGGCTTTTAGAACTCTTTTATGCTTTCAACTAAAGCAAAGTTCACACTTTTGTTTCAAAAAAGAGTTCCATATAAAACTCACAAGTACGTTCGTTCGCATTTTGAAGTCACACGAGTTTAGTTTACATGCCATGCATACGAAGAACGTAACCCCCGGAAATAAAACCCTAGGGAGCCACCTTAAATGACATTTAGCGAGAATATATAAATTATCTGTCCGACCGTCGATCCGTCGCCATCTTTTCGTCCGTCCGTCTGTCAGTCCGTCCGTATCCGCGTTTTATTCCAAAATTTGCATGCGCTAATATAGGCATCAGTGTTGGCGGTTTTATATACGCGGGGGTGTTATAACAATAATGATAATATTTGCTTCATAATGCATTAATGCTTGTTTTGGTAGCATTAGTAATATTTGTTAGCGGGTCTTTCGAACCAAAATGTTTGCAAGCCAAATCTTGACTCAGCTGCGCAAGAAAAACGTTGGAAAAATACTTTGAATTGACAGACGTCACGATTTTGATATTTTGACAATGTGATTATGGAATCTTGCCAGTAATTTCCCCATGTTGTGGTTTTTTCACATGGCTGAACACGCAAGGAATGAATGGCGAACACGTGCACTCGTTTCATCATTCACACACAGAACAAACGACCTTTTATATACAATTTGCTGGGCACTGAAAGATGCGAGGTGATTTTACTATTTCTCCCGTAAAACGTAAGTACATTTCGTCTTATTAATATTCGTATTGGCTTTAAATCATGTTTGTATTTCATTTATATTGGTTAAATAGCGGAATATTTCGCTGTATCAGGTCCATTTATCGGGCACAAACTGGTTCAAACCGGTTTAGCTCGAATCTCATCAGGGATTTTGTCTTTGTTCTTTTATTACAATTGTATTGGTTGAATTTTATTATACAATAAATATTATTTTATAAATATTTATTATATATAACCATGTGGACTGACTGGACTCTAGTTTATTCATATTATTAACAACCACATTGTTAGGCAGGTTTTAATGGCTCATAAATAACAGCTGATTACATGGAGAGTTTTAATCTATGTCTCCCTTTGAATATGCCAGATAGTTGAAAGATATCCTGCCAGAATCCAGATTATCCGGCTCGATACCGGGTACTAGTGGTTGGATATTAAAGGTTCAAGCCCAATCTTTCAAGTTTCAATGTTTATTTTAATATTTTCATCGGTTATATATAAAAAGATATCCTGCCAGAATCCAGATTATCCGGCTCGATACTGGGTACTAGTGGTTGGATATTAAAGGTTCAAGCCTAATCTTTCAAGTTTCAATGTTTATTTTAATATTTTCATTGGTTATATATAAAGCGACATCTGGTGTTTATAATATATATTGACTTGAATTCGTGGGAAAGAACTAGAACACAGTGCAACATCAATAAAGATATATGGCTGGAAAAGTATTGAGATTTTTGTGCATCTTGCTCAGTTGAAGGGTTATGTAGATGGAATTTGGGAGTGGAATATTATATACAATTTTAGACCCAACCAAGGGCAGTTGCGGAAAATGCCACTACAGGCCCTCTTGCGGGAATTTGAACCTGCAGCCCTGGTCTGCATATAGAGTCCAGTTGTCGAGCTCTAACCACAAGTTCTTGATGTATATAAGTATAGTGTGATGCCATTATTTATAAGGCACGAGTATCTATATCATTTACCCATAGCTCATAATATAAGAACCTGTGGTTAGAGCTCTGAACAACTGGACTCTGTAGCTCAGTTGGTTAGAGCACTGCACCAGAATTGCAGGTCGGCAGGTTCGATTCCTGCCAGAGGGTCAGGGGTGTCGGAAGCATTGTGAAGCGGCGGGGGCAGCCATTTCAAAAGGGCACTTGCTGCTCAGCCATAATTTTCCTGGGCAGCAATATTCGTTAAAACTTTACTGTATGGATACTTGATTACTTCTGGCTATTATGGATCACAAACTTTGAAATGTTGATCATCGATTTTTAGCTACATGTATATATATTCGTTACACGGTGCGAAAGGCGGAAAATAAAATCAGTAAACGGACTTATATTGCTTGATTTAGCATTAATTTTACTACAACTGGTTAAAAATTAAGCAAAGATTGCTTAAAGATGGTGTACAGTCCGATCTGCATATGCGAACAAAGGAGCCCTCTTTTTATTAAACAAACAGTTTATTTACTAGGTTTTTATTTCATTTTATGTTCTTGCAAAGCTTGATTGTTGTGTCTTGATAATTTATTATACTCTAGAATCATGAATTCAAAAATATAAATAGTTGTCGAACAAAATTCTATATTTTGGATACCGAAATGTAAACAAATCCTTTGTTTACATACGTACTGTACTGCATCTTTAAACATTGCTTAAAAATAGTTCTAAATTCCAATTCCTGTCAATAATGCACAAATTTTGAGGTGCAGTTCAGGTAAAAACCTGTTGCCCCTGTGCTGCCCCCGCAATGTTTGGGCAACGGGGGCAGTTGCCCCCGCTGCCCATGTGGTTCCGGCGCCCCTGCTGAGGGTCAATAGTTGCATTTT